TTCTGGCCTCCCTTTCGCTCGCCAAGAGGGGACTGAATGGTTACGCTGGGCACGTTGGCTCCAGGATGTTAGGGACCGTGAAAATGGAAGGGCACGAAACAAGCGAGTGGAACAGCTACTACGCCGAGACTCAGGAGGTGAGCGGAGCCGGGGGCGGTGGGTGGGGGGATCCGGGAACTGGTCGGGAGGGCTTCAGCCAAAAAGAAGGTCTTCCCACTCCCGGGAGTCAGGTCTAAGCGCGAGTTCCTGATGGTGCGTAAACCTGCTTTCTGCGGTGTTACAGCTGGCTGCAAAGCCCGGGAAGAAATCGGTATAATTTCTAATCGTCCCACGGGGCAACGGAGGGGGCGGCGGAAATGCGGGGTGGGGGAGATCAGTGGCAATCGAGCCGATGGGGGTGGGAGAGGAAGGCGTTATTGATCACCTCCTCAAATTACGCGTCGAAACACACCAGAGTTCTAAATTCCTCTTCCTCCCAACCGCGCTAGAGTCCCTCCATTTAGGGCCTTGATTTGTGTACGTGCGGGAGGGGACAATCATCACGAAACCCCCTCGGGGAGCAGTTTCACGTTTTGTTGGTCCCCTTCCCACCCCTCACCTGTGCCAGTATTGTTCTCTAGCTAGGCAAAATAATCATTTGTGTGTGTACTTTGCCGCACGCTTCTTTCACGGAGTTGGGGGTGGGGGGTAGCGGACAGATTAAAAATAAAACAGAAATCAATTCTCCCGGAGCCCGGCGGGTGGCGCTGTCGAGAATGCGATCCGACTCCGTCACCAGGAGCCTAACTTTTCATTGTCCATTCATGTCCACGTTCCTTATTTTACAATATGCTCCAAAGAACTGAAAGAAAAGATCAAAAGCGGGCGAAGGAACAATAAGGGTGTAGGAACCTCTGAACCCCTAATGGAGGGATAAGTGGCGCTTTTTCCGTGAATAAAGACGGAACATAAAATTAAAAAGCTGCAACCCACGGAATGTAGACATATAAAGTGAAAAGGAAAACAGCAAGATGAGACGTAAAATAGCCTGAAGCTCGCGCCGCAACGGGATTGCTTTGCGGGGTCTTACCGGAATTATGATCCGGATCTGCTGCGCGGCAAATGCGGGCAGCGGGCTCCTAGTAAAACAGACGCGTTTGTATCGCCCTTTTTAGAGGAGCTTCTCATTTAATGCTAGAGGTCAAAAGGGGCGCAGAGAGAGACTGAGAATCAATGGATGCGTCTTCCCGCCTCACCGGTATTCCAGTGGGGCGGGGGAGAAAATAAAACGACCATCCTAGGCTAACGTGGGATCTTGGATCGGCAAACAAGAATTCATCTGCAGTCCCAGAACCGTTTCTAAACTTAATGCTCTACTTTACTGGAAAGCATTTTTACATGGAAAGGGATTTAGCACATTCCCATTACTTCCGTATTTAGTCCAAAATGGACGTGAGAAACTAATATGCATGTGCTTATAAAGACATTTTCCCCCAATTAATGGTAGATGGTTCTGATTTTACTAGGCTGGATTTAGTTCTTAAAATTTGAAAATAGCGGGTACCTTCCCCTACACTGACATTTCTGCCTATGCAAGCTCTGTTGTGGACACAGCCTATCGCTCAAATATCACCATTCCTTAACATATTTCCGCTAATACAAAGCTAGAATTATAACAATGTGGGAGAATGTAGCCCACATAATATAGCCCAAATATAGTCAATATTTACAAAGCTAATTAGCGACCAGTTTATAAGGCATTCTCTTTCCTATACAGTATTCAACATCGGCTTATAAAGTAAATCGATGGTTTAGTAATTCGATTTTTAGGGAAAAAATCAAGGATTTTCCTTTCCAAGGATGATTCTTTAGCCTTCTGAGAGCGCCTTGCGGCAGTATCTTCGACATCTAATTCAGACGGCGAAAAGTTACTTGGCGTTTCGAGCGTCCTTTATTAATCAGTCAAGACTTCTAGGCTGCGAGGAAGAGAGAAGAACGTGGCCATAAACCTCAGAGTCATTTGTTTGATTTTGGACTTCCCTACCCCCCACCCCCAAATTGCCGTCCTTCCTCCCAGGGGAAGCTTCCCGATTTAGCAGGTTGGCAGGGAGCAGTTAAGGCCCTGGGAGAAAAGCAGCCCCAAGTAACGTCGCCGGGGTTGTTTCCCCCGCTCCCCCGCCGAAGCAGAAGCTGGAGGCCGCGAGCGAAGGGCCGGGAGGGGACGCGGGGCTGAGGAAAAGCGGCGATCTCGCGCTCGCGGCTTCGGAGGGCGTCGCGGGTGTGCAGGCCTCGGCTTCTCTTGGGCGCCCTCGGCGACGGTGCGGAACTGGGAAGACCTGGCTTTTGTGGCTTGGGCCGCTTGAGTCCCATCCTCTTCCCTTCCCGGGGTCTGTTGCGGCGAGCGGGGCTGACGGAGTCGGTCGTCTCGGTGTGAAGAGGGCCTCTCTCGCTCTCCTGGGATGCAATTCTGAGCAGCTCCGGAGAACATTGGTTTGGATTCACTTTCCTTCGATTTGTTTAAAAAAAACCTGGATGGGCCTCCAACAAATGCAGGTGGGAAGCGGGTTTTCGGGCTGCCGCTGGTTTGTGAACTGGATCCTGGGACAGCTGCTGCTTGACCAAAAGGGGGTGAAAATCTGAGCCTGGCCGGTTCCTTGCTTCCAATGTGCTCCCGATTTGGAGGTTAGGGTGGATGTTCGCCACATCCCCCCAGATCCTTAACTGAGTGCTTAATCCAAACCCTTAAATCACTGTCGTGGTTTTGTGCAAGGGACGCTGCTCTGGAAATTTGGCCCCCAAGTAAGACTCTGCCTTCCCTTCCAAAAAAGGAAGTGCGGCCTGTCGATGCCTGTGAAGTCACCCCTCTGTGCTGCATAATTATATAGTACCATTGGCTCCAAATGCAACGTCGCCAATGCAGCCAAAACGTTTATATTGTTATTATTGGTGGTAGTAGTGGTCACAGAGTCAGCCAGTTGTTTAGACTGGATTTGGCATTTTTATCCATCTATCGAGTCCTTCCCAAGGACCTGGGATAGGCAGATGTTGATTGTTGTTGTCGTTATACAAGTTGTTTAGACTGGATTTGGCATTTTTATCCATCTATCGAGTCCTTCCCAAGGACCTGGGATAGGCAGATGTTGATTGTTGTTGTCGTTATACAAGTTGTTTAGACTGGATTTGGCATTTTTATCCATCTATCGAGTCCTTCCCAAGGACCTGGGATAGGCAGATGTTGATTGTTGTTGTCGTTATACAATGTCGTTCTACGTATTTTAAATGCATGCCATTTCTTACCGTAGATAATATGCATGCATGTTTTCTGCCACCTCTCCAATTTTCTTTAGCAATTGACAGTGCAGAAACTAGTATCCATTTGGAAAGTTTGGGAACAAAGCTGAGCACAAGGATTCCCTTTCTGCAGAATCACCGGGTTCAGAAGCCTTGGTTTGCTAACCTTTTCTCTGTGCAATTTCAGGATGAACGGGAAGGCTGGCTGCATGGGAAGCATATTCTCCAAGGGGAATTCATGGGGGCCAACTATGAGAGTCTCCGGTGTTGGGAACATGGGAGCATATGGCACAGCAGGGCAGGGGGTTGGAAAAGCCACTTTAACCTGTGCTTCCTCCGCAGGCCTATTCGACGGTGCCCGTGAGCAATATGAATTCTGGCCTGGGCTCCATGAATTCCATGAACAGTTACATGAGCATGAATGCCATGACTACCAGTGGCAACATGACTTCGGGCTCCTTCAACATGTCCTATGCCAACCCGAGCCTGGGGGCTGGTTTGAGCCCTGGCGGAACTGGAGCCAGCATGAACAGCATGTCGGCCATGGGGTCGGCGCTGAGCCCCAGTAGCATGAACGCAATGGGTGCTCCGCAGGCTTCGCTAAATGGGCTGGGCGCCTACGGGGCCATGGGGCCCTGCATGAGCCCCATGGGATACGCACCCTCCAACCTGAGCCGTGGCCGTGACGCCAAGAGCTTCAAGCGCAGCTACCCGCACGCCAAGCCACCCTACTCGTACATCTCACTCATCACCATGGCCATCCAGCAGGCACCCAGCAAGATGCTGACATTGAGCGAGATCTACCAGTGGATCATGGACCTCTTTCCTTACTACCGTCAGAACCAGCAACGCTGGCAGAACTCCATCCGCCACTCGCTCTCCTTCAATGACTGCTTCGTCAAGGTTGCCCGCTCTCCAGATAAGCCGGGCAAAGGCTCCTACTGGACGCTGCACCCAGACTCGGGCAACATGTTTGAGAATGGCTGCTACCTCCGGCGCCAGAAGCGCTTCAAGTGCGAAAAGCAACCCGGCGCCAAGGGCGGATCAGGCGGAGGCGAGGGGAGGAAAGACCCAGGCAGTGCCGGCTCGCCCTTGCACCGAGGCCAAGCCAAAGGAGGGCAGCTGGAGGCTGCCTCATCCAACCCCAGCTCCGGCAGCCCGCAAGCCTTGGACCAAAATGGGAACGGAGCCGAGCTGAAGCCCTCCGTGGTTGCGGCAGCAGCAGCGGCTGCTGCCGTGGCCTCCGTCCCCAGCGGGCCCACCTTGGCCCCCTTGAGTCACCCGGGCCACGCATTGGGACCCCATGAGCCACCGCTGCACCTCAAGGGTGACCCCCACTATTCCTTCAACCACCCCTTCTCCATCAACAACCTCATGTCCTCCTCCGAACAGCAGCACAAGCTGGACTTCAAAGCCTATGAGCAAGCACTGCAATATTCCTCCTATGGGGCCAGCCTGCCTGGCGGGTTGCCCCTCAGCAGCGCCTCCATGGGCGGGAGGGGAGCTATTGAGCCCTCAGCCCTGGAGCCCTCCTACTACCAAGGTGTGTATTCCAGACCAGTGCTGAACACCTCTTAGCTGGCAGGGTGGGCCTGGAGGGTCAAGCGAGTGGAATCTTCCCTCCCGGTCTTGTCTGTGTCTCTCTCTCCTTAGATCTCTGCCCAAACTGACCGTTCGCTTGCCTCCGTCCCTTCCACCCCCAGCCTTCGATCCGTGCAAGGGAAAACGGAAAGGCAAATGGATAACATAATAAGCAAAAGAAAGGACTGTTACTTTATTATCGTGGTTGTTTGGATCATGTATGCCAGCGTGTCCCGTTTCTCCCGTTTTGGCCTGACAAGTCTGGCAAATCCCAGCCCAGCCCAGCCCACATATACAACCACTGTATAAACCGGCCTTGCCTTCCCACCCTGTGACCACTGTACAAAGCGAGCAAGGCTTCCATTTTGGAACTCATAATTGGTTGAATCCCCCCGCCTTTTCTTCTTAGTGGCGATCTCGCCACGATTGGGGGGGGGAGTGTGTTCAACAGAAAAGGGAGGCCACTGCTTGAGAGTCGCATCTTGACCGGACCTGTCTCCTCCGAGCATTGGGGGCTTCTGGCAGGCCTCTGCGTTGTGCGGGGTTTTCCCAGCCCTGAGGTGGATTCAGTAGGTCAAAGTTGAGCCCGGACCTACTGGCCTGCATGTGGCTTTTCCCAGTAAACAACTGGGTGGAGAGTTGACATTAGATTAGGAGCGGGAGGCTTTGAGGGATGCAGTACAGAGAGCGAGAACTCGCCCCCCATTTGGAGACTTGGGGAAAGGGTGTTTGTTTCACGCACTGCTGGACTCTGTGGCAGAAGTCTGCCCCCCCCCTGCATATACCGCCCCATCATCTGCCATGCACATGTTGTGTTCGAATGGTTCGGAGTGACCCCAGGGAAGCACGGATGACAGGCCACAGGCACCTGATCAAGGGCCAGGTCCGTAACCCCCCTGCCTTGTAAAGGTGCAGAGCACAGATGGCAAGTGGAATAGAGAAAGGGCCTCCTGCATCCTTCATAATTCCTTGGGAACGGGATAGGATACGGAGCTGTACAGGTCACAGCCTTTTAAGGCATGTTACTGTTATTTCAACCCCCCCTTCCCATAAGCTGTTACTGAGGAGTCTCCTTCAGCATCAGGAAATCACTTGGCCACAGGGATGACCCGATTATTTAATCTCAGAATCCCCCCCCCCCGGCATGGGTTCTAGAACTCAATGACTATTATTGTTCCAGCCCTGCGCCGAAGAATATTCTGAACTGGGAGATTGTTCCCATGGCTGCTTTCATCAGATCAGTCTATTCCCAAATCATGATTGCTACCGCCCTGCTGAATTTTTTGAAGCCGCTTAATTCTACCGTTGTTAGCACGTTCATCCAGTGTTAATGCACTTTCTACAGTTTTTACATGATGTTTTAGCATAGCCAGACGGGTTTTTCCCCTCCCCCTTTTTGGTTTTTTCCCCCGTTTGCCTTCACAATATTCTTAATTTATTTGCACGGTTTATATTTTCTTTCTTGACAGCTTGAAAGTGCTTTAAATAAACGGTTTTAAAATGACACACCATTTTAAAGAAAATAAAAATCTTAATTTTATAATAAATGTGATTGTAATTGAAAAAAATGTTTTGATTCCTTTGGTTTTTTTAATGACAATATAAGCCATGGAGTATGTTTCCCCCCCCCCTTTTTTTTTATCATTTCCAGTTAAGGACTTTAAATAAATCATATATTATCAATGAGTGATTTTTGGTTATTTTATTTTGTTTTATTCCATTACTGAAAGAATAGTTACTTCTAGGTGGGTTAAAAATGAACCTAGGGTTCAGAGAGGAAGAGAAGAGTAAACAAAAGGAATTGTTGGCAGTTTTTTCCCTCTCCAGGCAAGGCAATATATTAGGAGAGCATTGACAGAACTGTGAATTAAATGTCCAAACAGTCACCTTATTAGATATATATTAAATATTTATTAAACTTATTGAATATTAACAAGCAGACCAATTCTACTAAAAATATCTCACAAACTGAAATATTTGTTCTTTTTTAAAAAAAACAGTACAACTAAGAGTTTTCATTTGCATAAGGGATTACTGGACAACAGGTCTTACTTTCTCCAAGCATACCTATGTTTATTTCAGTTTGAGGGAGAGGAATGTAGAATAAGCTTTAGCAATTTCAGTTTTAAGAAGGAACTGTCCTCCCTCTCATACAGATTCCTTTCTGTTATTTAGGAATGAAATTCTAATAAGTACTTACTGTGGCGTGAAAAATATCTGTAATGTTTGTATCAATGGGAATATTTTAATTGATTTCAGTGGGAAATGAGTTGTGTTGAGTGAGTTCTGAAATTATAGTCACTGTCTAACATTAAAACAGGTTATTTTGCCTGACTTTCTTCTTCACTAGACTGAGGCTTTCCAATCTAGAAGTAAATTCTGGAATGGGATTCTTTGTGATTTTTACTCCCACCCCCCCACCTGCCCCCCAGGATAGATGTTTATTCTGAACCTAATCTAGTCATATAGTTCTGAAGGCTAACACCTTAGTGGATGACAGCTATTAACCTTGCAAACAATTCTGCACAAATACAATCTGTTGTATTTGACGCAAAAGGTTAGGGCTTAGGAGTGCATTTCTTAGAAGGTTTACTACTAATGGAACTTAACTTGCCATGTTAGTGGGCCAGGAGGAAAACACAGATAGTTTAAAGCCTTTTCTGGTGCAATTTATACCTCCCTTGAAATGAGGTTATGATTACAATATATTTTGGAAATTGAACTCTTACAGGGGGGTCATATGTTTCCAAATGCATGCAATATTTTTATTAGACTAGCTGGTTAGTATCTGAGCATGCTCTTTGTACATTTGTGGTTCAGGACTGTACATGTTTATATTCAGATCATAATGCTGAACTAAATCCTTGGACTAAAAATTTAAGCAAATTGGTGTATTTATCCTGTCATGAGTCTTGATGGTGCTCTACAGAAAACTGACCTCTGTTTTGTGGAGCTTAATATAAAATATGTTGAAGTTATGCTGCAATCCCATTTAGTAAGTTTATTTCCAATGAAAAATGCATTTGCCCTTTCTGATGGAACTCAACACTAGGACATCTTTCTTGGGAAGTAAATGTGAATTCCATGTGTCCCGTGCATGCACAGGTCTACATCCTTAATTTTAGAATAATTTTCCTTAAAGCTAAAGAAAGAAATATCCAGTAAGGTAGTCAGTGTGCATTAGGGTTAAGAGCTGAATTTTGTAAATTGTTGCCACTGTTATGTGTACACATACACATTCATACAGAAACACACACACATGCATATTTGTGCCTCTTGCATATACACAACATTGCAATCCTATTCACTTTCCAGAGGAGTAGCTCTTTAAGTCTGGCACAACAGCAGAGCCTGTGCCTGTTTACTTAGACATAAGCCCTATTGTACACAGTGAGGTTTATGCTGCTAACAGGTATTGTACCCAAAGACTTTTCCTTTTTTCTTAATTAATTGAAAACCTGATAAATGTATTGTATTATAGCTGGTATTGTTGCTGTGGTTGTCGTTGTCATCATTATCATCTGGACTGAGTGTAAGTCCCCAGCAATGCTGCCGCCTCAGAGCATTCTCGTTTTGTGTGGCTTGGATCCAACCGTTGTTCTCCAGTTTTAGTTTGAGATATTCAGGTTTAGGGGGAAAACTTTGGGAAAGAAAGAATGGCGAAGGGCCCCAAAGCCATTAAACACATTTGCTTACATTAGACTCCCAATTCACTCCTTCGGCAGTGCAATCCCTCATCTGCGTTTAATCAGAAGTAAGCCCTATTACATTCAGCAAGGATTTGATTCCAAGAGAAGTTCATGCAGGATGTTTAGGCAAGACAAAAGAAATTCAGCCCTGGAACCGAAGGCTTTTGCTCCCAGACTTCAGAGTAGCATACCTGGTCACCATAAGGAGAACTGTGCCATTGTTCTCCCTCCCCCACCCCCCCTTTCCCCCGTCCCCTGCCTATTTTTGCCTGGACTGCCTTGGCAATCGTAGTAACAATCGGCTGTCAAATGCGTCCTCTCTTTCTCCCGATTTCTCCCATCTTCACCAGCCTGCATGTGATTTCGCACTGTCTACGGAACAGATGATCTCAACTGGAGGCCGTGTCTCGCTTTGATCGGCCCCACTCCAGCCAAGTCGTGGGCTTTCGCTCAATAGCGCCTTATTGCTCCCCCCACCCCCACCTCCACCCCCCCGCAATCAGCAGCGGAAAGGAGCCGGAAGCTCTTCGATCCGCAACGCGAGGGATGGAGCTGAGCCTCTGAGCAGTGACTTCAGGATCGGGAGTGAATTTGAAAGAGGCGCTTCACCTTCGGCCAAGACTCTTCTCTCACCCTAGCGATGGTCTTCTTCCAGTGGAAAGAAGGAGACGAGTATTCATTTATTTTTAAGGGAAAAGAGGAGAGGAGAGGAGAGGAAAAATAGTTTCTCGGGACGCTGTCGGTCCCCCGCCCGAGTCAACAGGGAGTGGGCCGTAACCTGCTTTCTTTCGATAAATATGTACAGTATTCAAAACAGCCACATTTCTGAAACTCGTTTTGGGCAGCCCTTCCCAAAAGTTCGTCGCAAGCTTCACAAATTTTAAGTAGCCGATTTGGCTTCCTTCTGAGTAAAGAGTTATACAACCTGGGCTTTTTGGCTGATGTGGTCTTAGATCACATCCTCTACCAAATTTAAAGTGAATATGTTTAATTCAAGGCCACTGGGTTCAGATAAAGGTGTAGCTCCCTGAATCACAGGGAACAATACCAACCTGGCTTGGACTTTGAAAAATAAATGATACACACAATCCTTTCCCGGTTTTATTTCCCATAGAATTCTCCTTGTCTGCTTTGCAAAACTTTGGGAAGTTAGATGGTACAAAAGTTTTACCCACTTCAGTTCTTCTCCATCAAATGTCCTCCAGACATGGTAAACACCAATGATCATAATCTCCAGCAGGCTGAAAAAGTGGGACTTGACATCCAGTATGTTTGAAGGGTAGCAAGTGGAAAGAGGATTGCTCTGTAAAAGATACCCCACTGTACACTGATGATGAAACTCAATTCTTTCAACAATGCCCAACCTTTCTAGATGGATCAACCAAGAAAAACAGGCCAGGCAACCTCATGACTTGATTCTGACCATTCAACACTTTCCCCCATTCACCTTCGCTTATTATTTACCACAATGAAGGCTCTTCCCTCCCCTTTTTTGACAAAAATTAAGCAACTGAAAAGGTGAGTATTGGGGTTCAACCTTCACTCTAGAATATAGGCTATGCAGGTTACTTGGAAGACATGCTAAAAGCCTGGCTAATAAAAAAAAA